CTGCTTCATTTACCAAGTGTAAGTAGCAATGTTTCCTTTTCTGTAGTGTAATCCCATCTTCCATAAATAAGATAATTGTAAAGAGTTTACTGGGATGGTCTGCATAGTCAGTATATTTGATTTTGTAGGCATTCATACAGAATATAAAGTAATGTATTATAGTAGTGAACTATTTTGGACTCTGGAGAGATCCAGTTTCAATTCCATCCTTGACTATGAAACTCATTAAAAGAGCCAATCTGAAAGCTGAAACTACTACATAGGATTTTTGTTGGGGTATGAAATTAGGGTGAGACCTCTCCAGACACCACTTTGAGTTCTCCCTGGAAAGTTGGGATTAAATGATATAATGATATAAATGTTATAGAGACTTGAACATGCTGTGTTTTTTAAATATAGTCCAGGCTGATGAGCACAATTGTGTTCTACTCATGAATTCTCATCAATATGCATTGCTTCAAACATAGATGCCTGTTCAGTGAGAGATGCTTTGACTGAATTTCAAATACAGAATAGCCTAACTAAGATGGCTCATTAAGGAGCCCCGTGGTTGTGTAAGATTTTGTGAACTGCAGCACACTCTAGTGATACCAAGAAATTACAAAATAAAACTAGGCAGGGCGAGTTTTTTTCTCAACAACTGGCATGTTGAAATTATGATGAGCTTGCGTTGTGTAAATGAAAGCAATATTCTGGATTGCAGTGGTTTAAAATATTGGATACACCTTGGCAGGTAAAAGAACCAGGTGTGTCCTACCTGCAGCCATCCAAAGAAGAGAATCCAGCTTTTCCCCAGGTATTTGTCCTGGTTCCAACCTGAACAAGGCTTGAAAGCAGATCTTAAAGGTTATGTGATTTTGACAATTACTGAAAGGTTAAAAAATGTCTGTAATATTCAGAGTAGAATAGAAAAGATGATGACGTAGAAGAAATCTGTTTGGAAGCTGCAAAACTGAAGTTGATGAATTAGACTAGTCTGCTTGCAACTTTGGGCACCATTTGTAGGCTCTGCAGATGCAGATTTGAGAAACATTCCTAGATTTCAATTACATATAGAGACTCGGGGCAGAAAGGAAAATGAGAATGGGTAGCCTGATTGAACCACTGCCAAACGGGTGTGGCTAAATAAGCTTGATTTATGTTGAGTGCAGAGGCTTTGGTCCAGATTGATTCCATGTGGTGGTATTAAAACCTACGGATGAAATCCTTATCACATCTCAGGTTATTTTGGCTGCTTCTTTCCAACATTGGAGACATGGCGGTTCAGTGGTTAAAGATGCTGAGTTTGTCCGCTGGAACAGCTGGGGGTTCAAGACCCAAGTGCTGCATGATGGGGAGAAAGGAGCACTGCTCCCTAGAAATGATTGACAGGGAAACTTTTAGCTTTAGCTTTCGGTTCAACAGTTCTCTATCTCCGTGGTATCCTTACTCTTCTTCCTAGGGCAGTAGGGGTGAACCTATGGCACACGTGCCAGAGGCGGCACTCGGAGCCCTCTCTTTGGGCACATGCACTGTCGCCCCTCCCATGGCCCCCTCCTCACCAGCAGCCCTCTGGAGGGGAGTCACCTCTGGGCACGGCGCACGCAGTGCTGCACAGCCAAAGACATGGTAGCCGGGCAGCGGGGACAAGACTCCACCCTTGCACCCCATCGTGCACAGATGCTACTGCAGGGCATGGGTGGAGGGCGTGGCCACCATGGCGCTGCTGGGCTGCCTGGGTGATCTGTGGCGGGCCATGGAGGTGGTGGGTGGTCCAGCGGGCACGGCAGAACGGGGACAGGTGGGGGGGTGGTTTGGGGGCACTCAGTCTCTAAAAGGTTCGCCATCACTGTCCTAGGGCTAAGAAAGAGGGATTGGCCCAAGGTTACCCAGTTAGTTTCATGCCTAAAGTGGGACTAGAACTCATGGTCTCCCCGTTCCTGGTTCAGCATTTTAACTATTGAACTAAACTGGCTGTCTTTTATAGCCTTAGAGATTCTAAATCTATTCTTCCTCTTCTTTCCCCCCCCCCCCCCATGGATGCCAGATTATGCGACCAATAATGGGAACAGCTTTGTGGTGCTTAGGCAAATACAACAAAACGTTTTGCCCTCATGCCAATCATTTATTTAAATGCAGGGCGTATTTTTTTTTCTACTCGCAGAGAATTTTGCAGATGGGAGAACACTTTTAGCTCCGAGAAAACTATTGTTCCGAAGGTTTGCGCATTCCGTTCAAATCCACAGCGTTTCATTCATCCTTAATATCTCCCCAGGGTTGGGAGAAAGCGCTCCGTGGCTCTTTTGTCCTCGTGATTTTTCATGCAATATGATTAGATAAGGGGTTTTGCTTTGGTGTTTTCTTTCTTTTTTTTCTTTTTTCTTTACTAGTACACCGCTGACTCTTACACACATGAGTTTTAGCCCCATTGTTCAAGGACTATTTATTTATTTATTTATTTATCAAATTTATACCCCGCCCTTCTCCTAACGGACTCAGGGCGGCTTACAGCCAGTTAAAACAGATAACTAATACAATAATACTAATTTTAAAATATGATTAAAATGAAATATTCATTATTGGCCGTTTCTTTTTAAAATTATTTTAAAAACCAAATTAAAATACCCCTTAGGCCAGTCCGGCTAGCTGAAATAGCCATGTCTTGAGGGCGTGACTAGAGTCACGACGGAAAAAAGCCCGAATTCTGCCAAGTTTCACAATGTGCAAGAGTCCTCCAAGGTTTACAGCGATGTTTTGCTTCTCTTTCATTGCATTTTCCCTTGTCATTTTGCTCTGCTGCCGGTACAGTAACTCTGTTCTCTTGCCTGCATTATTCTGAAACTGCATCTCTTCCCTGTTTGTATTCCCTGTAATCCATTTGGTCCGCTCTCTCGAGGTTGCCATGAGAATCTTTGATTGAAAGGAATCACTTAAGTCGTGCCAACGAGTCTCTTGAACCTGCTGGCAACTCAAGAACCAGGCTTGCGATCCTGCTAGCCGAAGGATGTTTGTGTGTGTGTGTGTTGCTCTTTAGTGAAGGTTATAATTTGTTGCTTTCATGATGATCTGTCTGCAATGCTTGTACTCTACATTATCTCCTCTCCCTTGTGGATTTTCTACAAAGCATGACGGGAATGTTAGCCTGGAAAAGGAAAAATAATTCATACTGGCTGTTGATGCTTGCCTGGTGTGCCGTGGCGAAGTGCATCACACACACACACACACACACAGCGGCAAGCAAAGCGAGACATCTACTGGCTGAACAGATAGCAAAGGAACTGTTTACTTATTTGTGTCTTTGCAATGTTTCAGCCTGCCAGCTTGCTAAAACATTTCTGTTGGGAAACTTTTGTCACCAGTAATCCGACATGAGCAAGTATGAACAGGGTAAAAGGATCTCCGAGATTAATTCTACGAGAAAAGGCAATTTTTTTAAACCACTTTTTTACCTAAAGAATAGTCACAGAGAAAAGCTTGGCACTGGTTTATCACCGAAGGACTAGCTTTCTGCAGGCAGGGAGTTTTTCATAATGCAGTGAAAGGTGTAAATTTGTCTGCAATCTGAATCAGTACCAGCACTTGGATAAGTCTTGTAAGACATTTTTTAATAAGGCATTCAGGCTGTGGTATCAGAATTAGCCAGGCAATCACAGTATTTATTGATATGCTTTTTTAATCTGTTTTCTATACTCATGGGAACATTGAATCTGGGTTATAAGTATCCCCACAGAGGTCTATCATAACTTCAAATAGTCACTAAGTGACCAGTCGTTCCTGTACTGTTGAGTGCAGCAGTACTTACTCTTAAGAAAGGCCCAAACTACTCAATGAAGGAAGGTGAATACTTTCAGATCCTACATGAAACATGGCCAGATAGGAGAGAGTGAAATTTAAGACGTAGGAAAAGAGGGGTGGTCACCAATGAACTGGGTTCCCCGTATTGGTCATTCCTGACATCTACCCAACTAATTTTTCAGCTAGCAAGCTCGGATACTCAAAAGTGAAGTTCATTCAGAAAAAAAA